TTAGTTGGTCGTCGCAAGCATGTTGGATATTTCAGAGCCCGTGTTTTTCAGCCTCGTCTGCCCTTTTGACGAGGCTGTTCTCCCATCTCTCCCGCCTGCATCTGTCCTCTCTTTTTTTCTTCTCTCTTCTCTCTTCTCTCTTCTCTCTTCTCTCTTTTTTGTATTTTGTGCTAATGACTAGCCCTACAGCGAAAGATACTCGTCCGATCCCAGAGAGCACAAGGGGATCAATCACCCTAAAGCCATAATTCGGAAAAATTCAAAAAAAAAAAAAAAAAAAAGAAAAAGAAAAATGCCAGATCCCTTTTCGCCAAGAGGTATCCCAGATATGGCTTTTGTCAAGTTAGTTGAGGAACGGCGGGCCCAGCTCAGTCTTGTTGCTGCAGACTGGCCAGATTCACCTTGTTTATTAGCAGACATAGGGGAGTACTTAGTCCGGTCTGCGGTGATATTGTCGCATCTGGCCAAAGACCTAGCCGATGGCCAACATATAAAGGTCTACGCGACTCAAACGATCAATGACATGAAAAACGATACTGACTTTTCTGATCTTGATCCTCTGGATTACTTTGATTCTAAACATTCATCGTTAAAGTGAGTTTTATGGAACAATGCTCTCCTCTTCTGTAAATAAGTACCGTTCCTTATTCCATTGATTTAGGGACCTGGCGTCGCAACTGGAAGAGATGGCGAGTGAAATTCGATCACGGTGGGAACAAAGCCGAAAACCCCCAGAGCTCCCGACCCATCACCAAAAACGCCCTTCCCGGTATGGACATATATCTGGGGCCATGGGAGATATAAACGTGGTCTATAATCCAATGGATGAGCCTACAAATCATTCCCGTGATGCCAGCCAGTCGGAAACCGGGGCTGTCTCACATGGAACACACAACCCAGGAGGGAGAGCCCAATCTCCTACCGTCGATGATGGTATCAACGACACCATCCAAGATCTTTTAAAGTCGTTAGTATCTCGTGGAAAAGGTAACCATATTTGCCCCTTTGGCTATCGCTGTCGGAAAGGCGGAGTTGATAGCAATAGTGAGATGGTAATTTTTGAGAGAAATTCTGTTTTTAGGCACGTATTAACTTTTTATTTGTACGCTGAAAAGCCAACATCTTCCGTTCCCTGACACAAATTGGCATTGCTAGGTCGCATCTGGAGAAGCACCAAAAGTTGTATAAGTGTGAGCTGCCTGGGTGCAAAAACCACAAAGGGTTCGCGAGGAAGGATCAGCTCCAACGGCATCAGGAAAATGTCGCACATAATACCACGTAGGTAACAGGTACTGCGCATTGAATCCGAAGCCTCCGTTCGTTTGTGATTGGGCTCTCAGTAAAACCACATTTTTTATGCCAGAGATTTATGGCCTATTGACCGTGTGAGTAGATTCATGTTGTTGTAGCAAAGTTCAACAAGAAATAAATATTCAATGCGACATAAATATGCTCTGCTTTATTTTACCTACCACCATGGGGTTCCGCGACTACGGACGAGTTGTACTGTACTCAGCATAGAGGCATAATTGAAGAGGTTTATCCTGAGGTGCCTCACGAGAGGAATGAAACGATATCCGTAGAAGTGTGTGTTCTGGTTTCAAGATGTGCCTCAAAACATTTGCAGTCTCAAAACATCTGCAAAACATGAGGCGCAAACTAATTGTCCGTTCAGAATATCTGGGCAGGATGCCTTCTTGGCTCTGCTTGTTGGGGGATCGCGTGCTCGGAAAGATGTTTCCGTGAGAAGACTGCAGACACGGGGGAAACCGAAGCTCCACGGGAGTTGGATGCCTGGTCAACTCAAGGGTCTTTTGGGGGTTCTGCGCTGGTGGTTTGAGAAATGCATTCGAGACCTTTATCAGATCATAAACTTCCCAGTCATGTTTCTGCTCCAAATAACCTGGGCTGAGCTTCTAAAATTGTGACGAAATGTCTGTCTTGCATGTGGGATTTGCTCCCGATTGGTAAGTCTCAGTATGCTCATTGGCTTGGCCGCTAAGTTGGCAGGGGCAAACCAAGAGTTGAGAATGTCGAAGATATGATCACATTCGCATAAGAGTTCGAAATTTCGAATTCTCTTAGCCCACGATTAGCCGGGCCAGGATGGGTCTATCAACCAGACTTAATTTGATTGGGTGAAGCTGGGCCATATTTCACCTTGAGTGTTTCGTCAAGTCAACTCC